TTGGTAGCCCGGTGAAGCTCGGGATCTCTTCTGAGAGACATGTTTTAAAATGCATAAAATGAAACTGAGAGAATTACACAAGAAGCAAGTTATATTGAAATATAACTATGAAAGTCGTTTTTGAAATAAGCCTACAAAACTCTGATAAAAAAAATCAAAGAAGATCTAAATAAATGAAGAGATATTCCATGTTCATCAATATTGTTAAGATGTCTGTTCTTCCCAACTTCATCTATGGGTTCAATGCAATCCCAATAAAAATCCCAGCAAGTAATTTTATGGATCTCAACAAACTAATTTTACAGTTTACTTGGAAATGCAAAAAGGCCCAGATTAGCCAAAACAATACTAAAGAATAAAGTTGGAGGACTGATACTACCCAACTTCAATGCTTACTCTAAAGCTAAAGTAATCAAGACAGTGTGATGTTGGTAAAAGAATAGACAAATAGATTGATGGAACAGAAGAAAGAGCCCAGTAACAGACCCACACAAATACAGTCAACTGATCTTTGACAAAAGAGCAAAGGCAATTCAAATGGGGGAAAGGATAGTCTTCTCAAAAATGTTGCTGGAATAACTCAAAATCCACATGCAAAAAAAGAAATCTAGACACGGACCTTCCACCCTTCACAAAAATTAACTCAATATAGATTACAAACCTAAATGTAAAATGCAAAACTATCAAACTCCTAGAATATAACATAGGTGACTACCTTTGTGAACTTAGATTAGGTGATGAGTTTTTAAATACAACACCAAAAGCACAATCCATGAAAGAAAAAAATTGATAGGTTGGATTTCATTAAAATGAAACACTTCTCTGCACAAGACACTATTAAGAGAACCAAGACAAGCCACAGACTGGGAGAAAGTATTTGCAAACACATATCTGATAAAGAACTGGTAGCCAAAATATACAACTTAACAAGAAAACAAACTATCCAATTAAATGAGCAAAAGATCTGAACAGACACCTCACCAAAGACATACAGACGACAAATAAACATGAAAAGGTGCTCAACATCACTGTCATTGGGAAATTGCAAATTAAAACAATAATGAGATACCACTGCTCACCTATTAGAATGGCTAAAATCTAAAAAAACCAACAATACCAAATACTGATAAAAACCTGCATACAAATGTTTATAGTAACTTTATTTATAATTGCCAAAAACTGGAAGCAACCAAGATGCCCCCCAACAGATGAACAGATAAACAAAATGTGATACACCCATACAATGGAATATTATTCATCAGTAAAAAGAAATGAACTATTGCGCTACAAAAAGACACAGAGGAACCTTAATTGCATATTGCTAAGTGAAAGAAGCCAGTCTAAAAGTTATAATTCTAACTATATGATACGCTGAAAAAGACAAAACTACATTGACAGTAAAAAGATCAATGGAGCACAGGAGATTTTTAGGGCAATACTAGTCTATATGATACTGTAATAGTGGGGATATGTCATTATATTTATCAAAACCCATAGAACTGTACAACACAAAGAATAAACTCTAATGTAAACAGATAGACTTTAGTAAAAGACAACAATAGTTTAATAAAAAAATGGTAAATAGTAATAGAGCACAAGTCTAATAGCTATCTTGCTAACTGTTGTGTCTAATTTTTGAAACAATGAAAATAACAAGTAACATTTATATTTCTTACCTTCTAGTCTCTATACTAAGCACTTTACATATATGCCATTTAATCTTTACAGAAATCCTAATGAGATAAATCCTCTTATTATCCCCATTTTTAGTTAAAATAAAAAACTGTTATATGTGTTTGTTTATTAACTTATTAAATAACAAGTGGTACATTTAAAATCCACCATAATTTTGAAGTAGTATTGAATAGAAATGATATTTTGTTGAGATATGTGCAATAAGAAATTTGATATGAAAATATCTGTGATTTTGACTGGTGGGCAAAACAGCTACCTCTAACATGACGATGGCTTTAGCCTACATGTCTCTTAAAGGAAATGCTACATTTCAGCTAGAGGTTAGTAAAATAATAAAATTTTCCACCTAAGTTCACAGATTTTCTGAATATCACCTATGGTCTCCCCCAGTAAAGAATCCTGGAACAAGTTATCTTTTTATGCTGCCATATTTTGCAAGTCTTTTTCCAGGCCCCTAAAAAAACTAAAACAAAGACAACACCCCCAAAAAACAAAACGAAAAAATCAGGAGCGAAAGAGAAAAATCAGGCCAATCCTTTACTTTGAATGGATTCTGACAATCTGTGAAGCTCTTGCAAAGAAACCTGAATTAGGCTCAGGGATGGTGCAGGAGCTGTGTTTTCAGTATGCAGCATTTGTACTGTGCTTGGACTGTGAGAAGTACTAAAGAGCTTATTTCATTAAAGATACTCAACAATTACTAGGTAAATTAATTCTTCTAATCCATTATTATTTAGGACTTAAAGTTCCAAAGTCAAGTTGAATCAAAAAAAGATAAAAAAAGGATACAGGTGGGAGAGAGAGGAAGCATCTGAGCTTTAATGTCTGCCTACTACAGTCATTCAAAGGTATGTGTACATAATAACTGTGCTAAATATTGGAAATCATTTTAGTTCCAGCATAATCTAACCTAATTTATCAAGATGTTTACACACACACCCTACTGAGTATTAGACAACTAACAGGTTTAATAATGAGTACGGGAGACCAATCATACAAGGAAGAAAGGGGAAATTTTCCCTTTGAGGAAATGTATGTCGCTCACTAAACTATTCTTCTGCCTGTCCTGATGACGACGCGGAGCCAGAGCCATTTATGACCGATGCTGCTGGCCTGCCTGGAGTGCCCCATTAAAGTATACCGCAGCCCCAACAGATCGGGTCGGCCCCTAACCTGGTCCTTGCTCCCGGATGGGTGGAGAAGCTTCACTCCAGACAAGGAGCTGAGCTGCTCCCTCCGCAGGGGGCGGGGATGCCTTTACCTGGCGGTAAGAGGACCTCGGGACCCCTGTAAGCCACCCTGTGCGAGGACAGCTCCGACGCGCTCCGAAGGGTCTCGGCGAGGCGGCCAAGGGATGCTTCGCAGCACCCACCGGGCCCGGCGGGTTTGTGGTTCGCAAGTTCCTGCTTCCGCTGCAGCCGCCGAAAGTTTACCGGGTGGGGAGTGCACATTCCTGTCCTGCAACCCGGAGCTGCTTCCCAGCAATTGTGCGTGCGGTCTTCTGAGCGCCCGCGAGAGACGCGAGCCCCCCTCTGGAGGCCCGCGTCCCCCTCAGTCCCCGCCCCACTCACCCGCGCGCGCACCCGAAAGCCAAGGACGCAATGAAGAGGCAAGGGCGCGACCGAGGGTCTGCAGCTGTGCCTTCTCGCTTCCTGGAGGGCAGAGAACGCGCAAATACACAGGATGAAAGTCAAATGGTACAAGTATATATATACATATATGTGTATATATATATACACACACACACACACATATACATACATATATGTATATATATACACATACATACATATATGTATATATATACACACAGACATAAACACACACACACAAATCACACCACGCGCAAATACAACGTATGAAACTCAAATGGTACAAGTGTATATATATACACATACATATATGTGTATGTGTATGTGTATATGTATATATATATATATATACACCGTAAAAACTCTGGTTCTCACCCTGTGTCCTAGTCTAGTTGCCCTCTCCAGAGGCCACCACAGTGCACTTTCTCCGAGTTCAAGAGTTTACAGTGCAGTCTATCTGGGGCATAGTTATGAGAACCTATTTGGATAACTGGAGGCATAGAAGGTCTCCAATTTGATTTGACAATCTTGCATTAAATATTATGTGCAAGTCAAGCCTCAAGGAAGACATTTGGGATTCTGCAGGATTTATTGTTTATAGATATGGATAATGATAAAAATAATGGTGTCTGTTATAGTTATTAAAATCATATCCCTAACATTTAGCATAGTATCTGGTACGTAACAAGAACTCAGCAAATATTTAAAGTGTATTTGTGGATTGAATGAATGGAAAAGAAGTACAAGGGCATAGGTTGTAGAAGTGTGTTTCTAAATCAATGCTCGCTCCACCCCCACCCCATATACAGGGAAACAAATGGAACTACTACACCGCTGACACTTAATCTGTCAAGTAGTCTAACCTTTGACAGTATCTCCATCTTGGTCAGTGTGAAAAACCTTTCAAACTTAAAGCAGTTTGCAATTGTAGATTATTATTCTAGTCCTGACAGAGCCAACAGCTATATCTTAGTTTTAACCAATAGCTACAGGAAACATATGTTGACAAAGAATGCCCATGAACAATGGTCCATTGTGTGAAAATAACTCTAGCTGTATACAGAGGATGACCTATTCTTGAATTACAATACTATTGGGAAAACTAGATATTAATGAGTTATCAAAGACAAGGAAATTCCACAGCAATTTCCCATTGGAAAGATTTTCCTGATGCAATAAAAGACTGATGTACACAGTATATTTTATCTCTGTAGATATACTTGGGAGTTCGGGGTATAGAAAGATTACATTCTTTGAATCCCCCTATAAGAAGTAATCCATGCTAGGCACTAAGTGACCTTTTTCTCATTCAGACATCTCCCCATCAGTTTCAATGTTTTGATATAATGAACCTGTTATCATTGAAGTGATATATTATTTTTTTAGTTATGACAGAACGTAGGACATTGATGAAAATAATAAAGAAAATTTTTCTGTTGACGTGAACCAGGTGTTTAAATTAGAAATTATGTTTGTTGTCACCTCATTACCTGAAGAGAGTCTTGATCCCCTTCTGACACTTAGGAGTCTCATTTATGTAGAGGCAGATTTTTTTTTTTAAGTGTTTTATCCAGAAAACATGTAGAGGAAACTAAAGATCAAGAGATGGGATCTCCCTTCAAGATGCTTATAGTTCAGTGGGAGAGATAGGTAAATCAATGGTTGTGTAAAGTATAAATGTTATAATAGAAGATTTTAAGGAAGCCCAGGAGAGGGGCATCTTATTAGGACTTCTGGGAGGAGGTGCATAAATTCAATCTTTTTTTTTTTTTAAGACAAATTTTTAAGAGAAGTTTTAGATTCACAGCAAAACAGAGATGTCCCCTATGCTCCTACCCCCAGCATGCACATAGCCTTCCCCATTATCAACATACCCCACCAGAGAGGTACATTTGTTACAGTTAGAATGTAAAGTCCATATTTTACCTTACATTTACTCAATGTTGTACATTCCATGGGTTTGGACAAATGTGTAATGATAGGTGGCCACCATTACAGTATCATACAGTGTATTTTCACTGTCCTAAAAATCCTCTGTAATAAGCCTATTCATCCCTCCTCCAACTTACACCAAACCCTGGCAACCACTATCTTTTTATTGTCTTCATAGTTTTGCCTTTTCCAGAATGTCATATGGTTGGAATCACACAATATTTAGCCTTTTCAGATTCACTTCTTTCAGTTAGTAATATGCAGTTAAAGGTTAATGTCTTTTCATGGTTTAATAGCTCATTTCTTTTTATCACTGGAAAACAGTCCATCATCTGGATGTATCATAGTTTGTTTATTCATTCATCTATTGAAGGACATCTTTCTTGCTTCCAAGTTTTGGCAATTATAAATAAAACTTCTATAAACAGCTGTGTGCAGGTTTCGTGTGGATATTATTTTTTTAACGAGTTAAATCTTGAAGGATGAAGTTCAGTTAGATGGAGAGATGAAGGCTGAATACTCCAGACATAGAAAATAGCATGAGTATTCAGAGAATTTCATCCCCATTGTCATGAAGTTTGCTTGTGTACATAGATGAATAGAGAGGCTGGGTTCAGAGCAAGAAGTTTCTCTTATGCTAAATTTTACACTTTATCCTGAGGACATAGCAAGTTATTGAAGGTGTTTAATAAGGCAAAGACAGGTCCAGAGACCTAAATAATATTCTAGAAAATTCTCTGTGCCAGCCACATGTAGGATGGATTGAAGGAGGTAAGGCCAGAGTCCTTCTGATTTCCAAGAAATTGAAGAAATTAGGAGACCCTGAACAGGGCATAGAGATAGAAGAGAAATCGAAAAGAGAGGCTCTCCAGATTTGGTAACTGGTTGGATGTGGTGATAAGGGTAAACAGGTTTCTGGCTTGGGGACTGGATGGATGGAGTGTGAGGCAATATAAAGACATGGGAAGAGGAGCTAGTCTGGAGTGAACAGAAGCATGAGTTTTAGAACATTTGACTCCTGGTTTTATCACTTACTAGCTGTGTGATCAAGAATAACCCCCTAAACCTCCATGTAAAATTAGGAAAAGTGTTATCTACTTTATAGGCAGATCATACACGGCCAATATATATGAAAGTGCTTAATAAACTTGAAAAACTGTTAGTTGTGTATGTATGTCCCCTATGCTCCTACCCCCAGCATGTTCATGTGGAAGTGATTTTGAGAGTGCTAAAAGGCATCAATCTCAAATGTCTCCTACCTCAAAAGTCCCTCCAGCTGAATCCTTGTATTATAAATACCCATTTAATTTTCTTGCACCAGATTGTAAGTTTCCTAAGGATAAGGCATGGGTCTTGTTGGATCTTTTATCCCTGGCCTCTAGCAAGTGCCTGGCATATTATAGGCTCCCATTAAATGTTGATTCAAGGAATGAAAGCCTTTTACCTTCTGGTATCCTTTTTCTGAATAATAGCTTTATTGATATCTAACTCACATACCATGCAACTCGCCTATTTAAAGTGTACAGTGTAGTGGTTTTTAATATAGTCACAGAATTGTGCAACCATCACTACAAAAAAAATTTTTAGAATATTTTCATCATCCCCGGAAAGAAACCCCCATATTCATTAACAGTCACTCCCCATTTCCCCTCTACCCTCTTCCTCCTCAGCCTTAGGCAACCACTACTCTATTTCTGTCTCTATAACACCTTTTCTGGACATTTCATGTAAATGAAATCTACTATATATGGTCTTTTGTGATGGGCTTTTTTTTCACATTGCATAATGTTCTCAAGGTTTACCATGTTGTAGTATGTATAAATACCTCCTTTTTTTATTTTTTTTTTTTTGCCAATTAATACTCTATTATATGGATACACCATTTTATTTTTCCATTTATCAAAAATCAAACAAACAATAAAACCAACAGTAGCATAGGAGTTTCTAGTCTCTGTCCCCCAACAAATATCAGCGATTAGCTACATATGAACAAAAACAGTCTGAGAAAGCTCCAGAGTCCACTTAAGAAACTTAGCAACACAGTAGACCAAAAATCCCCATGAGTCTATGGCCATGCCACCCTGAACATGCCTGATCACGTCTGGTCTCGGAAGCTAAGTAGGATCGGCCCGGTTAGTACTTGGATGGGAGATTACCTAGGAAGACCAGGTGCTGTAGGTGTAAAAAAAACCAAAAAACAAACAAAAACCCCCTGAGAATAACAGCACAAGAAGAGAGGGAAGACAGCTTCATTTTGCCTGCATCCTCTCACCTCCCAAACCAGCATCTCTTAACACCAAGAGAGAACGAAAGAGCAGAGTGAGCCACCAGCTTTCTGGGGGTACTGCACACAGATCCTGCTTTGGTTTCACCACCCAGACTGACAGAGCTGAGACGTGTAAAGATGGCTAAGATTAAGGAAGAAAAACAGGGGCTATTACAGCAGCCTCATAGTAGCAGGAGTGATTGAAGTTCCCTGTGACCTGCTCTGCAGACAAGCCCAGCAGTTTACACCACTGAAGAAATCAATGGCCAGCACAGCTGCTGTAAAGGCCCTGCAGATTTCACCAGCTTTCAGGTATTCTTGTTTGCTGATGACTGCTGCCTGATTCCTTCTCTGCTCCTTCCCCTGCTCCAAGGCCCAGAACCTTACAGGCAGCCAATGCAGTCTTCTGCAGCTGCATGAGTGCAAGACACCAGTCTGAACCCCTGCAGTTGACCTCCACTGCTGTGCACACACTAGGGGCTAGGCCCTCTGGTAGTGCATTTGCATGCCGCAGGCCTGAGGCCCATCGCCAGCCTCCACTATTTTGCATACACCTGGGGGAGATTGTGTAGCCAAAAGAGAGAACGCCTATTGCCAAGCCCCCATTCCCTACCCTGGCCCCACTCCTGCTTTTGGGCCTAGATCTGGCTCTGTCTTCTATCAGTGGCCTGTACCACTGTGACTAGTGCCCCCAACTGTAGAGAAACCCATCACTGGCCTCTACTTTGCTCTTGGTGAGACCCAGGAGCCATGTTAGGGCACACCAACAGCTAGAGACCCTGCAGCTGCCAGTGAACGTGTAGTTGACACTAGCCCTTGATGCTTTCCCTAGACCCCTGCACTATGTATGTGTCTACAAACACCCCGCTTCTACCTAGGCACCTACAGTTGGCCCTCTTAGCTTAGTGTATGAATGCCATTGGCTTTGGCCACCATTACTGCCTGCCTTGGTCCCTAGCCACTAGACCTGGAGTTGCCACTGAAGACTCCAACAGTCCTTCCAGCCACTGAAAACACCCTGTAGTGCTCACCAAGGACCACAGTTGTTGATTTTATGGACTCAAGTGGTCTAAGCCAAAAAAGATATCATGCTCCCCTGAGCCCTGTGCCACTACATGCCCCTGCACTTGGTGCCCTGCATCAGTAGGGTCACAGCATGCTCCCATGTGCCTCTACCTACAGGTGAAAATTTTCCCTTACTAAAGTCAGTCCATAAAATCTGGAGGAGGTGACTGCTTCTTCAAATGTATAGGCACCTACACAAGGCTATAGGTATGAAGAATCAGGGAAACATGTCTCTACGAAAGGAATACAGTAAGCTTCTAGTAACTGGCCCCAAAGAAATGGAGACACAGAAATTGCCTGACAAAAAAATTCAAAATAAATGTTTCCAAGATGCTCAGAGAGCTACAAGAGAACACAGATAAAACATTTAACAATATCAAGGAAACAATAGAACAAAATGAGAAGTTCAACAAAGAGATAGAAGGCATAAAAAAGAACTAAAAGTAATTTTGAAGCAGAAGAATACAATGACTGAAGGACTGAAGAATTCAACAGAGAGATTCAACAACAGATTTGACTAAGCAGAAAAAAATCAGTGAGCTAGAACAGCAGTTTCCAACCTTTTTGGCACCAGGGGCCAGTCCTCCTATGAGAATCTAATGCCTGATGATCTGAGGTGGAGCTGAGGCGGTGATGCTAATGCTGGGGAGCAGCTGCAAATACAGATGAAGCTTCTCTTGCTGGCCCACTGCTCACCTCCTGCTTTGCAGCCTAGTTCCTAATAGGCCATGGGTACCGGTCCTTGGCCTTGGGGTTGGGGACCCCTGAGCTTAAAGACAGATTAATTTGTGATAGCCTGCTGAAATGTGAAAGGGTTAAAGGATAATTAAAACCTGAAACTGGACAAAGGAAGTCTATACCTTAGGCCTAGTTTCTGGAACCCCTAACTACATTCTGTTAATCATAAAACTTGTAACAATGAGCTCATACGCTAACTGCCAATTTTAGCCTGTGTAACCCTGCTTGCTTGCATGGCATGGAAAATAATCAATTGTATATAAGCTGAAAATTACTGTTTGGCCATCGCCCATGAGAATACTGGCTATTGCCCATGGGAACATAGGTGATCACCCATAGGAACATAACATTCTAACAACAAGCTTTCTGCTTCTGTACTCCCCGCTTGCACACCTGACCAGTGGGTTGACAGGTAGTGAATAGGAGAGAAATAGACCTTTGCGTTTAAGATAGAATGAAGAATGGGTTTTAGGGCTTAAAAACCTTGTATCTTGGCATTTCGCGGCTGCTCCTTTGTACAGGACAGCCGCCGGCTAATAAACAGCCTTTGAAAGCATACTTGGTTTGGTCTATTCTATACAGGCCACAACAAATTGAAATTATCCAATCAAAGGAGCAAAGAGAAAAAGAAATGAGAAGGAATGAAGAAAGCCTATGGGACACCATTATGAGAAACAATGTGTGTACCATTGGAGTCTCAGAAGGAGAAGGGAGGGAGGTGAGGTAGAAAGCTAATTTAAAGAAGTAATGGCTGGGTCTATGACCATGCCACCCTGAACACCTCCGATATTGTTTGATCTCGGAAACTAACCAGGGTCACGCCTGGTTAGTACTTGGATAGGAGACCACCTAGGAATACCAGGTGCTGTAGGCTTTAAAAAAAAAAAAAAAAAAAGTAATGGCTGAGAACTTCTCAAAGTTCTTGGGAGAGATTTGGACATCCAAGTTAATGGAGCTATTAGGTCACCCAAAATTTCAATCTAAAATGTTCTTCTTTGAGACAAATTATAATAAAACTGTCTAAAATCAAAGACAAATCATTTTAAAATCAGCAAGAAAAAAATTCTCTTATACAAGGGAACTCCCATAAGGCTATCAGTGGATTTCTCAACAAAGCCCCTGCAGACCAGTAGAGAATGGGATGACATATTTATCCATGTCTCAGTTGACGAACAGAATATTCTTTTTAGAATGAATTATTTATCCAAAGGGAAGCAAGAAAAACATCACATCAGCATGGATTAGGGGGATAGAACACAGGATAAATGTACTTTGATGTGAAAGAGAGAGAACAAGACCCAGAATATATTATACTCCCTTCTCTTCCTCCCTCTTTCATTCACCCCAAACAAGAGCAGATCTGGGAGACAAGTGAAGGGCTGACCAGGAAAGCATGGTCACATTGCTTAGTGGACACTTACCAGTCCCATCAGCCTGGTGGTTTGCGAAAACCTCAAGACTATAGCCAAACACCACCTCCTAGGAGCTTACTTTGTCCTCTGGCAGTTTTTAGTTCTATTTTCATTCTCCCACAGAATACTGAACTTGCATTCATTGTACTTTTTTCACAGTATTGTAATGGTGAGTAGAGGAAAGAGCATGAAGTTTGAAATCAGACTACTAAGTCCTAGTTCCACCACTTACTACCTGGTGACAATGAAGAAGTTACCTGTTTGTAGGCCTCAGGGTTATTGTGAAAATTAAATAAGGTAAAATGGAGGGAATGTCTGTGATATAGAAGGGGCTTAATCATTTGGTGAATTTGACACTCCTGAAATTATATTTACCTATATAAAATCTCAGGGCATTTACTTGAAATTTCATGAAGCAAACAATATAAAATGAGTTGAGAAGTTCTGAGAACCCCAGAGCCACCCAACTCCTTGTTGGCGTTGCAAGGTCTATGGCCTTGCCCTGCCAAAACTGGCATTTCCGTTTTGCATTAACACTGCTCCTTTCTCACTTTTGCTAGTTTCAGAATGATGGCTTGCCGATAATTGTCAAAGTCCCCAGAAAGTGCCGAGACTATAGCGGCATCCACTTTCCTTTTACGATGCACACATACTCTAACACGTGAATCGGCATTTTCTGTTTCTTCATTTTTGTCGCATTTCCAGCTCCTTTCACCATCTAGTTAGTATTTTTTGTATGGTCGTCCACTGCTACACTTCAGCTTTCGTAACTAAAACAGGAACTTTGCATCCAGATAGTTGTGGATTTGGATCCTAAGTCTATCTAACACCTTTTTCTACCTGTAAAACACAGTTAAAAATATCTATTTTGTAAAGTTCTAACGATAGGATAAAGTACCTAATATGTGGGTGATGCTTAAAGGGGACGCATCGTTACAACAGGAAAGGGCTCACCCTTTGGTGCGGGTCTGGTTTGCAGGTCGTCGGGTCCTTTAAGGAGGCGTCGCCCTAGCTGCTTGCGGGAGTCTCCCCGCCCACTCTCAGGCGAAGGGCGGTGGCTCTCTAACCCGGAACTGACGGCCGCGCGCAGCGGGCGCCGCCAATCCGCGTCCCGGAAGGAGCCGGCCTGCGGCGCATGAGCGAGTGAGTGAAAGCGGCGCCGCCCGCTGGTTCGTAGGCGCGGCTGTCGCCTCACGTTCTCCGCCTCCTCTCCTCGGGTTTCCCCTAAAGAAGGCGGGCGACCAGCATCCGTCCCCACATAGGGACTCCCCCATCTCCCACCGCCCGCGCCCCTACGTAGGCCAGGGGCATCAGCCGCACACAGCGGCCCCGCTGCGGCGCGCAGACTCCGTGTAGCATCCCTGTCCAGGTCCCCGTTTCTGCCCTGTTGCCCTGTCACCGGAGTGGTGACCGCCTGTCCCGCCGTTCCTCCGCTGCCAGCACCATGGGCAGTGAGCAGAGCTCCGAGGCCGAGAGCCGACCCAACGATCTGAACTCCTCAGGTCGGTGCCCTAACTTCCACTCTCCTCCAGCCAGCCCTGTCTGCTTGCGGAGCGGGCTGCCTCCCCGTCTAGTGAGGTCTGGGACTCGGAGACAGGAACGTAAAGAAAGCCCTCATCATGCTTTTTTCTTCGGGAAGAAACAGCCACCAGTTATCCTAGCCTTAATTCCCCCGATGGAAGTGAGTGCAAGCTAAGCCAGCGTGGGCGCCCATGCTCATGATTTTCAATCAGCTTTTTCTCCCAGCTACAGCCTATTTAAAAGATAACCTAATTAATTATGGCTTTAGTACTTGCTACTGACAGTGAGATTTGGCTCTCACAGTGGGTGGATCATAGGCCGGACCTCTAAGAACAAGTTCCTTCTTAAAAACGGATCTTAGAATAACCTTTTCAGAAGGGATATGTGATAGGTGTAAAATCTCTTTTAACCCTTGGGTGCGTTAGGTAAATTACTAAAAGAGGTTAAGAGACATTTCTTGAGCAGTAAAAACAGAGATTCTAGAAGAGAGAATGCCATGTCATAGGAGACTCTAGCCTCTAGGAGGCAGGGTAGTTCTACGCATCCCTGGATCAACCTTTAAGACCTCACCACTGTGCCTGCGAAAACTACCTTCCAGAGTGTAGGAACACTTCAAAGGTTCATTCTTGCCCTAACCAGGAAGAGGATGATGTCTGGGGCTAGGGCGTCTTTGATAGTTTGAATCACTTTCCTCCAAATGGATTACGTTTTCGGAAGAGACCTGAAATTGACCTGACTCTCTAGAAGTCCTCCAAGTTTCTGAATTTTGCCTCAGCCTAGAAGGGACCTACCTTCTTGGACTAGTGCCTGTAACTTTAAGGATGAGAGGGCCAGTGCCTCAGGAATAGACCTATCATCTAGGATTGAGTATTAGGGTTTTTATTTCATGAGTAGGATCTATTAAACATACTTGGTTTTCTGTGATGGGTGTCACAAGGATGGGCCATGTATACCAATAACCCATAGACCTCCAGTTCCTTTCTTAACTCTAGCACTGTTGACCTGGGACAAGTTAACCAAATTTTGTATCCTTATTTCCTCATTGATAAAATAGGGACAAACATCAGGAAGGTCAAAGAAGTAAAAATTAAAAACACAATTTGCCTGTTCTTTTGTGTGCTGAGTAATAAAATATTTTAAATTACCAAAAAAACAGTTTCATATATATGTTTCTGTAATTTTTGAATTTTTATAAATACTATAAAATAAGGTCCTCCATAATTCATTTTCCTTACCCAAACCCCTACTGCAGGGTAAATCCAATTATTTTGTGTGTGTGACTGCAGTGAAAACAGCTTTGGTGAGACAGAGGTAGCTAACAAACATGCAGCTCCTGAGTGGTGTAACTTTATTTTCAGTGACCCCTTCTCCAGCTAAGCATAGAGCCAAGATGGATGATATCGTGGTTGTAGCTCAGGGTTCCCAGGCCTCACGGAACGTCAGCAATGATCCTGATGTCATCAAGTTGCAAGAGATTCCAACCTTCCAACCACTTTTGAAAGGTAAGGGCTTGTATTTTGATTTATCTGGACTTGCTGGAAAGGGTTTCATAGCCCCACTATTCCCAGATATCCATCTCCTTTAGATCTTTGCTTAAATGGCATCTTCTTCATGAAACTTTCCTTGTCTGCCCCATTTAGAATTCCAGCCCTTTTCCCTGCCTGTTTTTCTTTGCAGTACTTAATCATCATTGACCTACTGCATAGTTATTGGGTCACTGTATTTTTCTGCCAGAATGTGTGCTCCACGATGGCAGGAACTTTGTTTTGTTTACTGTTGAATCCTCAGCACTTGGAATAGAGCCTGATATAAAGTAGGGACTGAATGAATGAATGAATGATGTTGGAGTTGGGCCTTACCTGTTATATTTCCATGAAAATATTTTTATTTGTGGTCTGGACTATGAGTTGACTATTACAGATCCATAGAGGAAATCTCCATGACCACTGATACACTTGTAATTAATCTTGGCAGCTGTCTTAAATGATAAGAGAGTATGTGTATTGAGGGAAGAGAGTGTATACAAACCATCAGCCCTCCTGATTAGTGTATATTGATGTAGTTACCTTTTAATATGAATTTTATTATTTAATAACTTTTTTGTAAATTTTATATTAGTAAATATATTATTATTTTCATAGTCCATTAAGTAGTGGTGATGATTTTCTATTAAAAGAATTGGGTTTCTGCAGTAAGAATTTCTGTTTCCCTTTTCCCTCAAAAGATATATAAGTGAATGTAAGGTGCTGGTTTATTAACCTGGTGCAACATACAATAATCTAATACATCTTACATTTATATAGATATTTTAAAGCCCTCCTCCCATGCATATACCATTCCTTTAATTCTTATATCATTAAATATGTTTGAATTATTTGTGCCAGATCAGATTGCTGGCTAGGATGAATTTGAACTTTTATCATTGATGTCAAGTTCTATACTAGTTATACTATTCTACAGTGTACTTAAACAAAAATATAAAAACAAATGATACTTTATAGAGGATCCATATATCATCTCATCCTTCCTAGTTCTTTATCCGTTTCACAGATGGGGATATACAAGCTTTTGGTCTGTTCCCCATAGTCCTCAGGGTTAAACGTTGGTAAACTTTTCTGGGTCTTATATAAAACAACACATTACATCCTGTTACCTATCTTCTTGTTAGTTTTCATCATTTTGAGGAATAATGTGATTCTCCAAAGAAGCCAACGTTAATGAAATTTCTGTCTCTACATATCCTTGTACAATCAGATTAAAAGACATAGCCTTTATCTTTAGAAACTTGGAGGTGGACACTGGTATTCTATACTCTATCCCTTCTAGAGTCGAACGCAGTACTGCCCACAGTCACAGATTCATGGCTCTCCTTCCTGTTAACTACGTCCTTTTACCTCTAGTCCTGGGCGAAGACTTATGTGACCAATTTTTGTCCCTACTTTAAGAAAATACTTTTAAAAACCCAGAAATTTGAGATATATTTAATAATTTTCTGGGATTAGTGTTTTTTTAAAGTACTAATTCATATTCATATTTTATGATAATAAATTAACAAGTAGGGGAAGCATTTAGGAAAAGGCTTGGTGTTAAGGGAAGCTAACCTCAGATTTAAAATGAACACGGGAACCCTAAAAGTGAATAATTAATGTGATGTAGTTAATGCAATGCAGCTGGACTTGGTTGCATTGATACCTAGGTTTTAAATGGGACTTGGCCACCAACTAGCTACGTTGCCCTGGCTTTGTTTTTCATCTCTTTGAATTCTGGTTGTTGATAACATTGAGAATAGGTGTGGGAGAGGGGAAAGCTGGTGAGTAGCAGGTTGCAAATAAGAGGATCTAGGATTTGGAAGGTAGAGAAATTACTTGATGAGAGTGGCGTGAAAATAGAAATACATGGCAATGTCCAGACTGCAGGAAACAAAACAAAAGCTGGTGAGCATTTAAGTTGATGCTCATGTTTCACTTGTTAAGTAGAAACATCTTGGACAGTGGTTAGAGAAGAAGGGGACAATTGGGTGGAAATAATAAGTATAATTATGATAATAAAAGTAGCTAATCCCCTCCTTCCATACCTCTGCATGATAGATATTATTCTTTCCATTTTATAGATTAAAACATTGGTGCTCAGAACTTAAATCCATTGCCTAAAGTCATATGGTTACAAGTGATAGCCCATCTTGAGGTGGCATCAGGACATCGAGCGTTTAAGGATTTTGTACATAGAATAAAACTCAGTTTCCAATTCTAGCAAAGCCCATTATCCACATCACTAGGCTGCATTAGGAAACACAGTGATGGGTATGAGGCTGTTTGGAGTTTTAGGTGCAGCATTTGTTGCGCTGCCTCCTGCTTTGACATTGTTCGGCCTGGTAATTTAAAGCCCTGCCGGTTGCCTGCTGGGCGGCTGCAGGGGCTACTCATCACTGTTGCCTTTATACTCTAATCTCTTTTTACCCTCTTTACTGCTTTCAGGATGAGGCTATTTCTCAAAGTAGTAAAAGGGCCACACAGTGAGGGCCCTACCCCCCCAGGTTTGATTTCAGCAGGCTTTTATTCAAGTTAATGACAGTTTATTCTTTCAAAACAATATATTCAAGTATTACACAGAGTTCACTATTGTTCCATAATGTCATATGATGTAATGCTAATGCTGGTGGGTGATCTGCAGAGGCAGTGGCCTGGCGAGTTTGGGGCTATTCGTATGACTGAGGTAATGTTTGCATTTTTAATAAGCAAGCAGATTCTTTCTTTGGTCTTAACTCTTTTGGATAAATATACCAGAGTATAAGCTTTATACTAATGCCAAATATCTGTTCCTCTTTTTTTTAAGTCAAAAGAATTGTCTGTTTTTCAGAGCAGTCTCTGAATTAGCAATTTATTTCGAAATGTAAAGCATTTAATAGCAAATTGAAAGTAAAAAATTAGAAAGAAGCAATAAATGGCCATGACATAACACAAAGTCAAAATATAGATTTGATACAAATTAGTTAGATTCCCAGGGGTTAAACAAGCTCTATAGATTTCTTACCTAAAACTTAACCACTTACACATTTTAGTGAATCTCATTATTTTATGTCATTCCATAGAAATGAAATATTCAGAAGAT